ATCAACAAATACACACCATATGTGGTGACAAATTTAAGAAACAAAAATATATATAAATTTATGCAACAGCATGACGGACTATATCAAGCAAATGACTACTATCTTATTTTAAGTCTAATAAGACTCAAAAGCTAAGTAAACATAAAGGAATAAAACACCAAAGGAATATAAGCAATATATATATCAGTAATTCTGTGGTAATTCGTTTACATATAATATTATAATACAGAAAACCTATTTATTTCTGGATTCTAGTGCGTAATAAATAAATTTAGAAACAGCTAGAGCCAAACTGTAATTTAGCGGATCAAAAAGAACATGAATGGCAAAGGAATATTTAAATGTGAAATGGTAGAAGTGATATATTTTTCCCTAAGGGTATTGTATTTGGGACATATCAGGAGGAAATGGTATTCATCTTCAACCAAGGATAAATCACATTGTTGGCAGATGAGTTTATCAACAGGAATTTGTTTGTACCGACCTCTCTCAATTTCTAATTGATGTGTACTTAGTCTCAATGAGGTCAATGCGGTTTTGTATTTGGGATTTTTGATATGTTTTAGATAGTGAGTTGGAGTAGAAATAAAGGGTTTGACAGAACCGTATGTTCACAATTTATTGTGGGGGCTGTTGATTGAGTCATGATAAATTAAAGAATGAAAGGAATTTTGCAATTTGAGTTTAATTTGTTTAGGTGAGAAATTTATGGGGTCAATGTTAGAGTTATTAATTAGGGTGAAGATAGCATTTGTCCAAGAAAATTTTGGTTGACTTGAAGCCAAGTTCAAATCCTCATTAATAAGGGGTTATTTTGAAGAGTAGAGTTATCAAGAAATCTTTTGAAATACTTAATCATTCTGTGGTAAATATCTAATTGTAAGGGAAATATTGATAATTCTGATAGACATCCAATGTTTGAGGCCTTTTTAGGTACACTTAGTATGGACTTAGCTGTACGTATAGCGATTGTATTGTGATCTAATTTGTCCCAATTGTTAAACATGATCTTTTTACTATGAACTACCTGCAGACACCAAACATCAGATGCATACAGTGCTATTTGTTTGACAATGCTGGTTGGAAGATGATCAGTGGTACCCCCATTGAGTCTGTCTGCCCCCGATTTCTACCCCCACTCTCTGGAGGTTGGCGCTGTCACTGGTGTTCTACAACATTGTTGAAAAATTTCCTTTAATGTCCATGAAAATCGGATATGGCCATACGAAAGTAGATCACTGCCGAGTATTAACACCAGCCTTAAAGGAACATTTATTCTTTTGTTTCTAAATCTCTTTATATTTCTCAAAATCTGAAATGACAATTTCAGACACCACAGGGACTGGTCGAACCAGGTCCACGGGCCTCCATTAATATAGGATCCCCAGCCCCAGACAAAAATACAGGAGAGCATATGTTAAAAAAGAAAGGGGGGGGGGGACGTACCACTCATCCTGTGGTGCCATTGATCAAAGTCAAAAATAAGGAACAGATGAAGTGGATACATGAAAATTCCTCGAACTATATAGATGTCAATTCCCCATGTTGATTTCATGTATTATTTTATCTACTGCAACACCTTTGCATTTTTGAATTATTTGTTGATCTTGTAAACCTCTCCAGAAGTAGGTAATTTCTTATCAAACTGGTGTATTCTAATGCTGAAATCCATTCATACTCTCTTTTGTAATCCAGGCCAGTGCTTCTATAGGAGAGTATCTCTTATAACACTATGAAAATGATCGGAGATGCTTCTCAACTGTAGTGTTCAAAGATACGCTCGTTCCCCGGATTGCAAATCAGGGCACCCAGTACAAAGTAATGGGCCATTATTAAATTGTGATCACTATCAGTGAAATATATTAAATATATTTTGCTTTTTGTGTACTATAATTCATATTATTATATATAAATAAACATCGGGGTTGGGTTCAGCGATTGTTATAACTTTTCAATGCTTCGAGCCTTCTTTTTTTGGCCTCCTTTGTCTCTAACTTTAGGCCATTATCATCTACCAGAGAGAAAGTGCCGGTGTCTCTGATGTTTAGATGTTTGATGTTTCTGATAATCTAGAGATAATCTGTATTAAAACCTCAGGTAAAATTAACACGGAATAAATAAGATATGTGTTATAGATATTAACAAGTTTTATAAATTCTACTTTTTCTCATCCTTCTTACAATTCATATACAAGTGGATAAGACATTATACCACATTTTAATTAGATTTAATTAGTTGTTGTCTACGGCCAGATACAAAGTTGATATCCAGATAATTGTACCAACAAAATCTTGATTGATAAATCAGGGGCGACTGGGGGTACATAGTGCTGGCACGATGATGTATAGCCATACGACATGTTACGATACGGGTATCGTATCGCAACGTCGTGTATTGATACCTTTCATTCCATAAAAGATAGCTTGCCAGGCAAGGTAACATACGACCACTACCAGCTGTCAGACATGATAACAATTTTTGTGGCTTAATAATGAATTTTCAAATAAATCTTAAAATCATCTATATGTCAAGACAAAAACCTGAAACAGTTAATAAAATTATCATCAAATTCAAACACGAACAATGTCTCATCGCTGTACACACAAGGGTAATAACTCTCAAACTGTTCATCCGAATATTACCAATTTTGAACTTGACCGAGATCTCATCGATAAATACATGCATACCAAGTTTTATGAAGTCTCTATCGTGCCTACAAGGCAAATTTGACACTTTTTTCTAAATCAAGGGCAACAACTTATAAACCGTTCATCTGATTATTACAAAGTTTGAACTTGACTGAGATCTCATCAATACATACATGCATATCAAGTTTCATCAAGATCAAATAAAAACTGTAGCCTCTATTGTGCCTACAAGCCAAATTTGACGCGGTTATACTAAGTCAAGGGCAATTACCCTGAAACCGTTCACACGATTAATAACAAATTTGAACTTGACCGAGATCTCATCAATATATGCAGACCAAGTTTCAATGAGATCGGATAACAACTATAGCCTTTATCGCATCTAAGAAATGTTAACGGACGGACGGACCGACCGCCGGACAGGGGCGACGGCAATATACGTCCACATTTCCAAGAGGGCGTATAAAAAAAAAGATTTTTGTTTATGATATAACAATTTTTTTCACTGAAATTGTTAGAAAACTAGAATTGATTTGACACATTCTGACACAAACAGGGGCAAACACCTATAAACATTCATACCCCTAGGTTCGTTAAAAATAAAGTGCTGGTACAAATTCGGGGGGCTGGGTTCAAACCATTTTTGTAAAGCTACCAGAATAATATTTATTATTGCTGACGTCTTATCAGATTCGGAGTGTAACTCCATCACAGATATAATACCAGGTTTGTAATAGATCTTGTCTAGAGGGTATACGGACACTAATTCATTTGTCATCTGTTTCCATGTTAAATCTCGAAAATCAACCACAAATCAGCAGGAAATTACTACCTATAAAACTTGGCTGGCTTATTGATACCATAACACAATGAACTTACTAGTTAGAAACATTATAGTTGCTATGTCTGTCCCTTATGTCTCCTTAAAATCAATGTAAATATTTCTCAATAACTTACTGTTGTTCTCTGTTTACATATTATTCCATCAAAAAAGTTGTATCTCCATTGAGGCGAGGTCCATTGATTCTATCATAAACCACACGCGATCATCTGGTAAAAACACAATCGTGCAGATAGCATCATCGTTCGAGTTTTGCTTACAGTTTAGGATGATTTTGGTGTATGCACTTTGAAGACACAAATGACTAAAATATTAGTTATTTAAAGTTTTTACGAATACGTAATAATATAGTGGAATATCCACTTCTTATCGTCTTGTAGTATATCTTGAAGTAGGTTTTTTTTTCACGGTGTCTAGCTTTGTAAGGATAGTATACTGGGACAGGTGTAATCCAAGAGAAATATTTTTGTGCTAGTAAAACCATTACAGTTCACGACAGGGTAATTTCAGATCTCAAACTGAAAATTTGGAAAGGGCAGCAAGATGGCCATTTTTTAAATTCTCAGTTTTAGAAAAATAATCACAGATTGTGTGAAAATATATTGGCATTCTATATTTCTTGCTGTGGAAGATCATTTACATTCTCAATTTCTGGCTGTGGAAGATCATTTACATTCTCAATTTTTGAATGTGGAAGATCATTTACATTCTCAGTTTTTGAATGTGGAAGATCATTTTACAATCTCAGTTTTTGAATGTGGAAGATCATTTACATTCTCAGTTTTTGAATGTGGAAGATCATTTATATTTTCAGTTTTTGAATGTGGAAGATTATTTACATTTTCAGTGGAAGATCATTTATATTTTTGGTTTTTGAATGTGGAAGATCATTTACATTCTCAGTTTTTGAATGTGGAAGATTATTTTCATTCTCAATTTCTGGCTGTGGAAGATCATTTACATTCTCAATTTTTGAATGTGGAAGATCATTTACATTTTCAGTTTTTGAATGTGGAAGATCGTTTACATTTTCAGTTTTTGAATGTGGGAGATCATTTACATTTTCAGTTTTTGAATATGGAAGATCATTTACATTCTCAGTTTTTGAATATGGAAGATCATTTACATTCTCATTTTTGAATGTGAAATATCATTTACTTTTTCAGATTTTGGCTGTGAAAATACGTTAACATTCTTTTGAGTTGTTTTTGCTGTGGGAGAACATTTACAGAACATAGACATTCTTAATTTATGACTGTGAAAGGATATTCAGTTATTTACATACTCAGTTTCCGGCTTTGCAACGACATTAAGTAGTTTCTGCTTTCAGTCAAGGAAAGAATATGTATATCATCAGAGTCTGGCTGTGAAGAAAATTTCATCTCCAGTTTGTGATTACTGGTGTTTGGAAGAACATTCAGTTTCCAAGCATTTATTTTGCGTTCATGATCGTGACAGACAATCCGTACAACCAGTCAGTACCTGCGCTATTTTTAATGGTAAATGGTAAGATGGAAACCAATTCATCAAACCCTTCACTCAAGGATTTTAAACCTAGTAACTTCGAAATTTTGTTTCCACCATTGGCATGTTTGTTTGGAGCAATAGTGGGTAAGTTTTTATCTCCTTAAGTTTAATATTTTTATTAACGCTTAATATCGTGCAGCATTCGCAAATAGTCTTATCCACATCTTGTACAACGAACTAGTAAATTGTGACACGATACAAAAAAGCCACCATTTATTTTATAGGACGTGTATAGATAAAAGGGTTTTTGAACAAAATACTTTTGAAGTGTTAGAATTACTTCTTTACTGTATATTGTACTGTTATATTGTTTTTATGCATAGTTAACCCATAATCAACAGGTGTATGGACTGAATAACAATAGTTCCAACCACGGTCGCCTATAGCCACGATAGTTGGCTTCAAATTTGCATAAACTTTGAACTTTCATACCAGAAACATTATGGGCGGTACAATTCATGCCGAGAATTTCTTAAAAAGTGTGTAGTCCTGGGTGATGAAGTTTTGAGACGAAAATATAACCAGGTCAAATGATTCCGAATTTCCGGCATTCACTTCCTCTGTGGATAAACCAAGTAGATATGATTCTTTTGTTTTGCAGGCTTGGTAGTCTTAATAATAAATAGTAAAAGAGGATGGTGCTGGAGAATGCCTAAAATAGATGATCAACACACCATTGATTCTTGGCGACTGGATGTTAAAGTCTTCACAGGCGGTCAAAAATCATGGCCCCTTCTTTCTAATTTTGATAGATCAGTTTTAGAATCATTAGAATTATTCGTCAATACGCCATGGGAGCTAATAAAGATATCTCTTCCAGCCTTCCTATCTCTGGCTTTCTGTCCTCTGACCCTGTTCTTACACGTACCAATCATAAAACTATTCTGGCCAGATGATTTATACGATACCACACCTAACATCAACGATGGAATCGCCTGTTTCTTAGTCCCTGCTGGTATGGTGTATGCCATATCGTTTGGTTTTGCCTTCCAGCAAGTGATGGCCAAACAGCAATCAACTGACATGTATATCAGCCAAGAAGTGGATCGACTGCATCGTCTGCTCACTATGACGTCAAAAATGACTCTTTCAACTATAACTATCAAGTTGCAGATGTTTCATTTGATCAAAAATGAAATGGTCAAGTTTATATTATACATTCAGGACAAAGATCTACCATCAGGACACACAGGTGAGATTCAAATTTTTAACGTTGACCTTCTTCCTAAGCAATCTTAGCAGGTACCTCATTTAGTGCTTTGGAAATGTGTGAGAGGATTTGGTGAGTGTGTGTCTGGTTTCAAGTGGGTGGTTTCACACAATGTATCGATTGAAATGTTTTAAGTGACTGGTTTTCATGAAATGTATCACGTCAAATGTATGAAGTGACTGGTTTCGTGAAATGTATCAAATGGATGGTTTCGTGAAATGTATCAAATGGCTGGTTTCACGAAATGTATCACGTCACTTGTATCAAATGCACGAAATGGCCGGTTTCGTGAAATATATCAAATGGCTGGTTTGCTGAAATGATTCTATTGACTGCTTTCTTGAAATGTATCATTAAGTGGGTGGTTTAATGAAATGTATCACGTGAGTGATTTCAAAAAATGTATCCATTGAAATGTCCATTTATTGAAATGTCGCGAGTTAATCATTTCCTGAAATAATTTGGCTTGCTGGATCGAGTTGATGGTATTGTTTAAGATGTTTATAAATTGCATTATTTTTACAGATTTGATGGATATTATATGTCTGATTAGTAAAGATAGCTTGGGCTGGTCACCAGCATTCAATACCAGTGTAAGAAAATCCGTAGTTAAAATTATCACTGATACACCATTTACTGTTGGTTCTAAAGCTCCAAGTAAACAAAGAATCAATTTTCTTCAGTAAGTAATCTTGACATTGAAAAATGTCAAATCACAATCTGAATCCCTTTTCAGAAACCAAATCCGACGACTGGTTCTTCTCCGTGGTAGGTTAGACTGCCATCAATTTCAGTCCGTTCTCAGTTATAGCGGATGACGAAAGAAATGGATAGCTAAATATCATATATATAAGCAAAAAATAAATAAATAAAACCACACCCCATCACATACATAAACTCACTTCCATCCCCCCTTCTTCACTCTCCTTTCACATTCATACTTCACCTACATCTTCGCCCACAATCTCACTGCCATCCTCAATGAATTAACATCCTCAATCTCACCCATAACCTCACTTACAAAATCTCCTTTCAACCTCATTCATGTCATCACCTACATTCTCGCATACAATCTCACTGTCATCCTCAAGGAATTCACATCCTCAATCTCATCCATAACCTCACTTCCATCCTCACTTACTCAATCTCCTTTCAACCTTATTCATGTCATCACCTACATCCAAGACAGCGATCTCACTGTCATCTTCACTCCATTCACATCCCCAATCTCATCATCGTTTTCATCCTCACTTTCTTGATCTTACATACACCCTCGACAGCGATCTCACTGTCATCCTCAATCCATTCACATCCGCAATCTCATCCTCGTTTTCATCTTCACTTCCTTGATCTTACATACATCCTCGACAGCGATCTCGCTGTCATCCTCACTCCATTCACACCCTCAATCTCACCCTCGTTTTCATCCAACCTCAACCTCAAACATGCCTCTTCAACCTCACTCCATCCGCACTTAATGATCTTTACAATCGGAAGTTGACAAGAATAAATCTAGATATTCTATTTATACAAAAGAATCATTTATATGCTGTTTTCAAATATCAAAGCATGTCATGAAGATGAGACTTATGACGTTAATTACTTCATCGACAATCAACATTCGTACCAAAGTGGTCTTTTAAGTTCTTTGGATCTGAATTATTATTATATTTCATACAATTTAGGGATGCTGTTCATGGCAATCACGGATATCGATTGATCTAGAAATAATAATCATTAGCAAAGTGTTTGTACATATTTCTCGTACACAACTTTGTAATTAACAAATAGTGAACCTATTATTAGGCCTTCTGTTCAATAAATACGAAAACGAAAAGTCAATAGTTATTAAGCATTCATTTTAATATCCACGTAATAAACTTAATGGTATATTGTTCTCTAATAATTCACTTAAACGATTTATAAAATTCAGAAGTTTAATTGAAAAGTTTAATAGAACTTGCCGTGAGGTAGAATATAAGTATATTTGTACCCTAGTCGATTAAGAGAAGAATTGTAAGAATATATCCGTTTCATTTAGTATACGGTTTACATATAAATTGATTATTTGAAGGTTGACCGGTACGCTATGGGCGATATACCATTGATGTCTAATATTGTGAAAAGGAATCCTATTGTCTGAACAAATAAAACAGTTAAAAATAAAGTTCAAAATATAAACATTAGCATTATGTCTTCAAAATATGTTTTTACATAGGATAATCTCTAAGAGAGAAATGTGTTTCTTTTCAATGTAAACATACAAAATAAATATTTTTATCGTTCTAAGATTAACAGTACTATATTGAGCTGCTATTCCAATTCTCATAAAAATAATGGAAAATTAATCGAAACTATTTACTTTTACCTATCTAACAAAAGTAGAGGGTCCAAATCTGGGCCAACCCGTGAATGTAGGTAATTAGGTCACATGAAAAGGTCAGACGGTTATTTGGTCACAAGTATAAGGTCAGGCGGTAATTTGGTCACAGTCATACGGTCAGACGGTAATTTGGTCACAGTCATAAGGTCAGGCGGTAATTTGGTCTCAGTTATAAGGTCAGACGGTAATTTAGTCACAGTCATACGGTCACACGGTAATTTGGTCACAGTTATAAGGTCACACGGTAATTTGGTCCCAGTAATACAGTCACAAGGTAATATTTTTTTTATTTGATAATATTTTTTTTCTACCACGTCAATGATAACAAGAACAATTATAATGTCACCCGGTCACAGTCGTTGCAAAAGTGACCGTTTTCAAAGTCTATCTTCTCCACCATTTTTTTTATCTTATTATCTTGTGACCTTTTTACTGTAACCAAATTTCCGGTGACCGAATTTCCGGTGACCGAATTTCCGGTGACCTAATTACCGCGCCTCGGACCCGTTTCTTGATAACAATGACGAATTGTAGGGTAGCGAACCAAAAAGTGGAGCATCTTTGGGCTTCACTTTCCTGTTCTCATAAAAGATATGATCTGCAGGGGATAATTGTCTTTATAGACAAAAATAACTGTTTCTCGAGGCAAGTCTGTCATAAAAGTTGATATATGGAAACAAAGTATATGTATTTTTGTGTTTTGTCTTTACAGGTGGGCGTTTTTAGAGACATTGGGTTATTTTACATTTCTTGGTATATTATTGGTATCTGGACAATCATATCGAATGGAGTTATCCATGTGTATCATTACAGTTATATCCATATCAATGTTATGTTATATAGTAGCTGATATGGACTCGCCTTTCCATGGATATTTTAAAACAGATCTAACTATCGTAAAAGGACTTGCGTCTCGCCTGGAAAAAATATATACAACAGAAGCCATGAAAATGGTTTCGAAAGATGGTTAAAGCCGTGTTTTACTATACAGTATGAATCTTTTTCAATTGGTTTCGGACTTTGACCAACCACTATTATTGGGAATGGCACAATGAGGAACCCTTCGTAATTTTGGGATTTGGGTCTTGAATACATGTAACTTGTAGTCTTCAGAAGTACTTACTAGAAATAATAGTATATAATAGTAGTATAATTCATTCAAAAATACCTAAATCAAATATTTCACTTTCTTCACTTTATTTTTCTATATTATGGAGTCTCGCGAAAAAGGCGAGTCGTCCTTTTAACTTTCAAACACGGATAATTCTGGACACACATGTATTTGAAGGCTCAAATTCGACAGTGGGCTGTAAAAACTATTACTGATTAGCTTAGCGAAAAAAAATCCCGTTTGTGAGACTAAGATTTCGATTGGATGGCGAAACTGTCCCTTTAAAGAGAGCCTGATTCATTAAGCAAGTTTGGAAAAATTAGGTACCCAAATGAATAAAAACACATATACCCATCTAGATTTAACCTAAGGATTATTGCCGTAAATTCCTAGGACGCAAAGCTATTAAAAGGTTTATGTAGAGTCGTTATGTAGGTAGTTGGGGTTGGAGAACCTATTGTACGGATTTAATCAAAATAAACGCCAACCGCTATAAGACCCAATATCATCTCCGTTTTTCTCCCCCCCCTCTCCTTTTTTTTTGGTTGATCAAGTAGAAGGTAGATGTAAGACAGTGGTTCCCAACCTTTCTCAGTCTTCACACCCCTGGAGCAATCACCTGGACCTTTCACATCCCCAAAAATTTGTTTCATCCACAATTCCAGCATGTTTTGATGTGAGGCTCTCTCTCGATTCAAAATAAACTCTTCTCCTACACCAGTTGACCACACACCCCCAGGAAGTGAAAACACCCCATGTTTGGAACCGAGGATGTAAAAGAAATATTTTAGAAATCTTTTCACGAATAATTTAAGTTTTATTAATTAAAACTAAGTATACTGCCTTTAACTTATATTTGATTAAGGCGCCAAGAATTAAGAAGATCCTTTAGGCCAAAAATACATAACTTAGACTCTTTATAGTTTATTGCCGTTTTATTGCAGTTTTTTCTTTGTTTGATCGATATACCAACATTGGTCTAATATTAAAACAGCTTCAATCTATCTATCTATCTTAATCGATATGGGTTAATCACCATCCTTGATAATTTAGAAGGACATATTTTTTTTTTTAACAACAAATGCCCTACTATTAAAGATGAGTCACCGCATAATCATTTATACATGTAATATACCGGGTATTTCGAAATAAAAGAGTCTATTTTCAACAGTCAAGAACAACGTACCAACAACATTCGGGGTCGGGGCGGGGCGGGGGGGGGGGGGGGGTGACATTGGTTATATACCTGGAGGGGCTATGGTGTATGGTGTTTAATTGCAGTAATTGAATTGATCGGGTTTTTTTTTAGATTTTTTAAGGGAAGCATGATATATTTACTCCCATTGCCACCGAGGCCTAGTATTCTGTTACAAATCTGTGGTTCCTTCATTTATAACCGTATATATTTGGCCATTGGGCCAAATTATAACAAATACCCAACTTTGCCAAATAACCAATGTTCAGGCGATGTGTGGATATAAAAATAACAAACTAAAACTCCACATTTATTCGATGGAAGACGATACAGAATGAGTTAAAAATCTATACATGACGATGTTGAGTGGAAACGTGCTTGATGAATACTGACCTTCACCCAGAAGGCGGAAGTGTCAGAAGTTGCGCACAAGGTTCAATGGAAGCTGTTCGGTGCGTTCGAACCACCGTTCTTTCCACGACCCGACATTCTGAACAACCAATAAATTTGGCCCATTTCCTACTAATTAAGCCCCAAGTACAAAGCAAGAACATCTTTTTGAAACTGTGAAACTTTAAAATCGTTAGGTTTTCAAACGTTGTTGTTTGCACAATGGGCTCAAACACAAATACTTTTTTTGTCTGGAAAGTTACAAAGCTACAAGGCTGAAATTAGCAGGCAACATGCACATGGATTATCTGAGCATCTCAGAAAAAAATAGAACTCAAATATCTGCCTTAGTTTAGGAAATAGTTTTTGACAATTTTCATGAATATAGGTTAAGTCATAGAGTCCAAATATGTCAAATTCCCAACTTTGTCAACCCAATTTCGTTCATGTTTTGCCCATTTCTGACTTATTAGGCTCAAGGACTAGTACTAGATACTAATACTCCTGAAAAATCACGTGCCTCCGGAGTAGAGAATCCTTCGACTAATAATAAATTTTATAGGCTGATAGTAAAATAGATACTAGCTTTAATCACAACGATTAAAAATTTCATCTTTTATCGCTGGCCGCTTGAAGATCGAATTTGAAAGTAATAAGCCAGATCAAATCAACACTGTCACTGTCTCATGTAATAAACATCTAAACCCACAAGGCATTTTAGAGTCTCACTGTGAACGAAATAAAGTTTTTTGCAGACCATTCAACCACAGGGACATGTAAAATATACAGCATCTCATGAGTACTCGGAGAATAATTTGCAGCATTTTCTACTCTGTTCTACCCGAGACAGTGCCTGCTATCCAATTCTAGTTACACTTTTCATATGTGGATACATCGTTTTCGGGCTGACGGGGTCAACAACAGGTTAAAAACAATGATTTATAAACTTCACAATTTCAATAGAATAATCAGACGACTGGAATTCGATCTAGATAAATCACTAATTTATTTGTCATCTCCTGTTTTGATAAATCACGAAATCTAAAATTCTAAAACTTTTTTCAAAAACCTCCTTGCACAAAAGCCTGGCCAATATGAGTATGAATGTAAAGAAGGTTATGAAATGTTACCCCAGATCAACAGAAGATTGGTGTGTTATTCACTGATTAGTGAGTAAAATGTAAAGAAAGTTATGAAATGTTACCCCAGATCAACAGTAGACTAGTGAGTTATTCACTGATTAGTGAGTAATATGAATGTAAAGAAGGTTGAGAAATGTTACTCCAGATCAACAGTAGACTGGTGAGTTATTCACTGATTATTGAGTAATATGGATGTAAAGAAGGCTAAGAAATGTTACCCCAGATCAACAGTAGACTGGTGAGTTATTCACTGATTAGTAAGTAATATGAATGTAAAGAAGGTTGAGAAATGTTACCCCAGATCAACAGTAGACTGGTGAGTTATTCACTGATTAGTGAGTAATATGAATGTAAAGAAGGTTGAGAAATGTTACTCCAGATCAACAGTAGACTGGTGAGTTATTCACTGATTATTGAGTAATATGGATGTAAAGAAGGCTAAGAAATGTTACCCCAGATCAACAGTAGACTGGTGAGTTATTCACTGATTAGTAAGTAATATGAATGTAAAGAAGGTTGAGAAATGTTACCCCAGATCAACAGTAGACTGGTGAGTTATTCACTGATTAGTAAGTAATATGAATGTAAAGAAGGTTGAGAAATGTTACCCCAGATCAACAGTAGACTGGTGAGTTATTCACTGATTATTGAGTAATATGAATGTAAAGAAGGTTGAGAAATGTTACCCCAGATCAACAGAAGAGTGGTGAGTTATTGACTGATAAGTGAGTAAAATGAATGTAAAGAAGGTTAAGAAATGTTACCCCAGATCAACAGAAGAGTGGTGAGTTATTCACTGATTAGTGAGTAATATGAATGTAAAGATGGGTATGAATGTTAACCCAGATCAACAGAAGACTGGTGAGTTATTCACTGATTAGTGAGTAATATGAATGTAAAGAAGGTTATGAAATGTTACCCCAGATCAACAGTAGACTGGTGTGTTATTCATTGATTAGTGAGTAATATGAATGTAAAGAAGGTTATGAAATTTTACCCCAGATTAACAGTAGACAGATCAACACTAAAGCTAATTTGTAAGATAAAGATCGTATAAGTTAGATGTTTTATGTGTTAACTAGGGCATAGTCATATTCCTAGAAGCGAAGTTATTCTTTATTAAAATCATAAAGACAATTTAAGATTTTTTATGCCAGAAGGAAAATTTTTCCCCCTAAATGACTGTATAAAAATACGTTCCCTAAGCAGATCTTTACTCATAGTTGGTTGCTCAGCAAAGAAGAAGTCTACTGATATGGAGGTAAGAAAATTGGTCTTCTTCCAGCACGAGATCTATTTGCTTCCTCAAAGGGACCTCACATCATAATGATGACCAGTTGAGTATGGTTGCGAATAATGAAAGTGATCATGAGTTGCGTTCGAAGTATATGACAGCTATTCTTAATCACACCCGTAAGGAACTGTGGTGATCGATATGATTTTAGGGCCACTTTAAAGCATACCGTATGTTGTGTGTAGTACATATTTGTATACGCACCAAACGCAAAGGTGATCGACATTTTTGTAAATTTTTAACCTATAGTTGCTCTTACACCAAAGCGATCATCTATTGCGTATGGTTGCGAATACAAAATATCATAAATTCCAATCGCAACTTACATGGAATTAATACGTTTTATGAGTTTAAAGAACGCAACAAGCACGGAGGTGATCGCAGATATAGGCAGGGAAAGTTCGAGATTTTGTTCATGTTAAATTTTCTCTGAGAATGACTGCGATCAATCTTAAAGCAACAGGGACGCTACGAGAGTAACACGATCGCAACAGGTACGCAACTCATAAGTCATGAAGTTACAAAGGTAACTCGTAAGTTCAGCAAGTAACACACACGCAAATCGGTACTGGAGAAAATTGGTTATTATTATGTGACTACGGTGGTTCGTATACGACATCATTTATTTTTTCCATTTTGAATTTAAAAAGNTGGAATATAATTATAAAAAATAATTTTGAATTAAAAACTTGTATTTTCATCCAAGTGAAAATTAATATCAACTCAGTGAAAATTCCAGAATTTGAATTAAAAACCCAACCGGGTGAACATTCTAGAATTTTTAATCAAAAACTTGTATTTTCACTTGGGTGGAAATTAATTTTCACCCGGGTGATAATTCAATAATGTATAATTTCGAATTAAAAACTTGAATTTTCAGGGGGAAAAATTAATATTCACCCGGGTTTATTCATACAAGTTTTTACTTCAAAATTATTTTTTATAATTATATTCCAGTTTTTTAATTCAAAATGAAAAAAATAAATGATGTCGTATACGAACCACAGTATGTGACCGATGTTCGCAAATACCACCCAACTAAGTATTCTATAAACTAACTACTAAAAATTCCCGAAATTTTCTTAATTTATTTTTGTGTTAATTTCACACTATAAATTTGACTTGTAGTTTCAAATGCTATTTATTATTCAAAATAGATCTATGAAGAAATATTTTGAATGACTTCCAATGTTCAATTAAAGCATCGGAGTTTGTTATTCATACTAGTCTTTTTGCGATCCAACATTTCCTTTGATTAGCCAAAATTAAAATATATCACAACGTTTTGCGAATTGTATATTAGAAGGTTTACTACAGAATTTTTTTCTAAATTGCTAACGATTTTTGGGGAAATGAGAATTAATATTTAAATTGAGTAGCCAAAACTATGGTGGTTCATATACAACATATTTCACTTTTTATTTTGAATTAATTTTCACCGAGGTGATAATTCGGAACCAATTTTTTTTCGTTTTTGTACACATGACGATGCAATTAAATAAAAAAAATGTCAAAAATCAGGAAGAATTGTAAAGCAGATATCAATGGTTTCTTTGAGTTGGCTGGGACGAGGACAGTTTTGTTTTCGATACTGGCTGATTGTGACACACGAGAAAACAAACGCAACTCGGTATTCAAAATTTCCGAATTTACTTTCCGTATATCTGCTATCACCTGCGTGCTTGTTGCATACCACAAACATTTTAAATATGGGTTGCGA